CTATTTTCAAGATTTTCATATGTTTATAGATCTCTTTGATTTTTACCATTTTTGGAATTTAAAATTTTATAATTAGATATAAGAATAGATTTTGAGATAATCCTAAGAACATTTTACATCAAAATTATATACTATGATAAAATTTGAAAGTGCACCTTAGTTGGATTGTTCAAGGTTGCAACCTTATGGAAACCACACCCTTTAGGTAACTATATCATCCATGCATCATATTTCAGTAGTTATCTGTATGTACATGGATATATTTCAACAGTTGCATTTGGTTCAACCCAGCTAAACAACGAATTAAAATTAAGTCTCATTTTTCTAAGATATTTGCTAAAAAAATGCGACTCTCTACCCAGTTCACTTCAAATTTGAAAGAAAATGTTTTTTTTTTTCTTGTTTATAAGTGTCCTATTGGGATCGGATTTGGGCATTGGTGGGTAAGAGGGCAGATGCCGCAGTGCAACGTCCCACCCTTCATTCCCATACCCTTCATTCCCATAGTTAACATATCAAAACAAAAAGTGACCTCATTTGTCAATAGTTCTTCTAAAACAATGCCCATATATCTTAAGGGAGCATACATGGTGGTCTATTTGGTAGTTGTTGTTAATTTGAAAATTTTTAGCTATATTTTAGATGTGCCTCGTCTATTTGTACAATAAAACAAATTTATTCCCCTAAAAAGAGAGATGGGAACTGGGTATCAATAATTTTTCTTCTTCTCTCTCTCTTAAATCCTAAGCAAAAAGTTCTCTCTCTCAGTTTTTCCCTCTAAAAATCATAGGCAAAAAACTTTCTACTTTTTTTATGGAACTCTCTCAATTTTCCCTGTAGAAATGCAAAAACATTTCTTCTTTTTTATATCTCAGATCGTACTTTCGCCAAGATTTAACCTTTTTACTTGAAATGAGTTATTCTCTACTTCAAGTATCATTATAACTCACCCATAACCTTCAATCCTTCTTCAAATTTGTTGTTTTTCTGGTTTGTTTAGAGAGAGATACATGGGCCATTTAGGCCTTATAAAAGCATGAATCATTTCTCAATTTATCTCGTTCACTGGTTGTTTTAGGAAACATTTGTATCGGCACCCAACACTAGTTCTAATAGATATGAAATACGTAATCAAATCATTTAGTTGCAATGCGTACCAAGAAACAGGCTTATGCCACATTTGGTATTTTTGAGATTCATATACCAAGGTGTGTTTGGATCCCGCCAATTATGGGATGCCAAACAAATGACCGGATCCTTGCGTTACAATCAACAAGATAACGGGAAAATAAAAAAACTCAAGACTAGAAAAAAAGTTGCAAAGGGTAATAAGAAGTCTAGAGAGAGAGGCATACCTTCAATAGAGGAACAACTAAGATGGAAGCTGAGATTGGGATCAATGATTGCTCTGTACCATGAAGAAATTTTAAAAAGAGAGGAACTATTTGATAAAATAATTATGCTTCACATTAATCTTGTCGTGGTTCTTTCATTGTATATATGATAGTAATACAATAAGGCAATATACACTTTTATGTCTTTTTACCTGCAATCTTCACTTTCCTATCTTATTACATTCTTCTCTCAAAAGGAAAGAACAATATCACTTTCCTATTTTTTGGATTTTGTTTCTATTGGCCTCAAGCTTTGTTTTTGCTTTAATGCATCAACCTCAATACTTAGTAACATGAATACTTGGTGATATTTAGCTAATCTAATCCTTGCTCAATTTGCTATCATACTCGTTGTTTAAAAACCCGGATTAGTTGGGCGAATTGGCCATCTGGACAACCAGTCTGGATCAGTGAATTGCCAGTCCAGATCGGTGAATTTGACCAATCCTCCTATGTAAGAATTGGTCCATAAAAATATAAAAAATAAAATAAAAATAAAAGGAAAAAGCTAGATTCTATCTCAACGAGTATTTTTTTTTGTTAGGGTTTGTATACTACTTGAAAGCTATAAAATATGAAAAGGTATACAGAGAGACCATTTACTTATGGGCGTGGATTGTATAAGGTTGCAACCTTAAACAATCCAATTAAGACGCACCTTCAAATTTTATCATGACATGTGATTTTGATGTAATTTTTTTTTTGGATTATCTAAAAATCTTATTTTCATCTCTAATTATAAAGTTTTGAACTCCAAAAATGGTTAAAATCAAGTAGATCTATAAACATATGAAAATCTTGAAAAATGGACGGTCTAGATAATGTGGTACAAAATGCTCTATTTTTGGGACTCAAAAAATTTATTTATTTTCCATATTCATATATCTCGATGTCGAGATGATCAAATAGAGAATTTATCAGCAGTAAAATATCCTTTTCCAATGGCTCTTTGATGTGCAACTTTAATTCTACATTTTAAGGTAGCAACCTTATATAAACTTTTTCCAAAAAATATTTATAGCCTAAAAAAGTATATAATTGAACAAAGGACATCCAATTTTAGACAGTATAGACATGGGCAAGCTTTTTATGCTTGCTCTACAATATAAAACTTATATACTTCCCCTTATCCAACCGTCCATTCTGAATGGAGGGTTCAGATTGTCCCAATCACAATGTCACATCTCTACACTATTTTATTTTTAATTTTTTTTATATAAACTATTTTGACACCAAATTTTGTACTCCAATCATCTATTAAACTCGCACAGGAGAAAAATATAAAAAAATATTTCCAATAATAAAATGACCAAAATACCTCTGATAGTTTCAAGGGGTATTTTGGTTATTATATTATATCAAAAAGTTATTTTTAATATTTTTTATAGGTGCGCCTCAATTAGAAGATAGCACGTACCAAATTTCATATTCATACAATTTTTATAAAAAAACTAAAAATAAAATACTTTGAGACGTCGGATCTAAGATCAAACGATGAGCGGCTCTCTTGATCAAAATTGGACCGCTGAATGGTAGGGAAAGCATAGATCTTCTATGCTGTAGAGGAAGTATAGAAACCTTTCCATACAAATATGGGCTCAAATTATATTTTTTTATAAAAAATTCTCTGATTGGAAAGTGAAAACAAAAATTACATAAAAAATACTCCTAAGTAAATATTTGACCCGAAGGAGCAAGTATGCATCTGTGCTCCCCCAGGAGCATGCTGTACATAGTAGAACTCAAATCTAGCTTTTCAAATAACGCAGTTGAAGGCGGAAAATCCTCGACTCATTGAGAGCGTCGGAGCCCCAAATTTAGGAAAGATGTATCGAAGGGGAAGTTTCTTCCCATGGAAGATCACGAAAACAAGCCTTCTCCAAACGGTTTCTAAAGTGAAGAAGACAATATGCGTAAATGCTTTACAATTTGATGATGCATATATTTTTCTTTTACAAAAAAAATAGTAATAACTAAAGATAATGTATATTATTAGATCATTTGTTTTTGGTACAAAAAAGTCATAATCATCTCTAACGATTATATTTCAAACTTGGACATTAGAAATAATACACAAAGTTTGAGAAAACAAATTATTGAGGATTATGCAAAATAAATGACAGTTTCGGCCATTTGATTTCACATTTGATGGCTACGAATAAGTGTAACCTCATTATGTCAAAAGTAGATGGTCTCATCTTATATTTTTTTATTACTAAAATCTACAAGGCTCCTCCTAGTTATTTCACATGGCCAAACACTACTAATCACGTTATGAGGACCGAATCCAACTATTTAGTTTGAACGTTTGAATTGGCACTTTTTGCTTTTGGTATTCTGATTCAAACTAAAATTATGATTTGGTTAAAATAAATGTTTGACTAGCTTTGACCGGTCAGATCGATTTCACAAAATTGAACATTTTTTATTGTAATATATTTAAATTGAATGCCTGATATCATTATCGTAGGAGTGCATATAACCCGTTTTCGGTGGAGCATACTGTACAGTTCTTTTGAGCAAAAAACAATATAAAAAAGATATTCGGATATAGAAAGAGATTTTCGATTTCAAAATTTGGGATCCATTTAAGAATCTTCGGATGATTATTTTGAAAAAGAAAATGTGACTTTGAGGTTTTTAAACAATTACTAAAAATAGATGATCTGTATTTAATTTTAAGACAATATTTTTTGGAAAATTTATCAAAATACACCTAAAATATCAATTGTTTAACATTTACCTATTTTCGAATATTCTAATCGTGTACGTGTGTATCTTGATGGGATTTTTGAAATTACATTAAAAGACATGGTAAAATATTAAATACTTCATTTATTAATAAATTCATTTATTTTTGAGGCACATACAATTTTATTGTTTTTTATTGTTTTCTTTTTTAGGTTTTTCAGTAGGTTAAATAGGGTTACTCTTCAAAATTTGGGGTTCAAGATTGGGTTTTAGAGGAGGGTCTAAATGAAGCAAATTCTCCCTTAAGGAGCATGTAGCCTCTTTAACTTATTTGAGTAACCTTACTAATTGGGTGAGGTTTGTGCCAGGTGCCAACTTTATATTATAGAAGTAAGGTGTGCTTCAAAACTATGTTGAAAATTCATTTTGGGTGCGACAAAGCCTTGCGATGATCTATTGTTGCTCTCATTTATAAATTTAAAGTTCCAGAAATAGTGACGATCAAATAAATCTATAAACACTTAAGATTTTTGAAAATAGACTGTCTAAATAATATATTAAAAGTTTAATTATTTTTAGGATTAGAAATCCTTTTTTTTTTTAATGTCGATGAATCTTGAGGTTGAAATGATTGATTTGAAGGTTTTCCAGTATAAAAATAACTTTCACTGGTGGGTGTTTTAGGTACGCCGTACCCTTATAGAATAAGGTTGAGACCTTATACAACTTTTTTCCTTACTAATTTCCTTTGTCAATATTCAAATGGAAATTTGGGTGGAGCCACCCTAATTTTAAAAAAAGAAAAACAAGAAAAGAAAGAGAAGAGTTTGATTTCCCGCTCCTCCAAACACTCTTTTAATTCAAAAGAAAATGGGGTTATTTATACGCGTTCGTCTCATTGGATACTCCCCAATCATGTCCCATCCTCCCACGCTCTCTCTCAAGAGAGCCGTTATTATTGTCAGCTTTCTCTCTCTCTATACCACTAATCTTTCTCTCTCTCTACACCAACATCACCCTCTCTTTCTCTCTCTACACCACCACTCTCTCTGTGGTCTCTGCAACTCCATCAAATATACATAACCTAGAGAGCCATTTTTCACAAAAGAAGTAGAATAAGCTCTGAGAATCAGGGGAAGGAGAAAGAAGGAAACCTTCCAAAAGTGGGAATGGAAGAGGGCCTCGACATGGCGAGGTTGTCCCTGATCGATGTCTCTTCTGCTGATGACAGCCTGATCGATGGAGATCTTCCCCTTTTGCCATGTTCTGGTATGATTTTGTTTCTCTAATAAATATTCATCTCTTTCGTTCCGTTGTTTGGAAATCTCGGCTTCTCTTCTTTCTTGCTTGTTTCTCCTTTAGAAGTTAGGGTTTGGGGACCTGAAATTAGGGTTCTTGGTTCTTCATTTTTTTTTCTCTATTTATACTAATTCTTTTGGTTCTGCGATTGAAACTTTGGAATTAGTGCAGTGATCATAGCAACTGGAAAGTGCTATTATTTGTCTGGTTAACTTGGTTACTTTTTCTCTTTTATTTGTACTGTATTTGGGGCAAATATGACGAATTACTGATTTATCTTTAGAATAGCAACTACAAATAGCTTGTCTATTTGCTTTGTTTTACAGATACATGTCTTTTGAGATAAATGCATGGTATATGACTATATGTTATTGTTCTTTAAATTATGGACCTGCTGATAGTAATACATTCAAACATGTTAATTCTCTGATGTGGTGTTTTTTTTCAAGACCAATAAGTTAATTATCTTTTTCCAGAAAAGTTGGAGCACCCGTATTCCTGAAATGGATGCTGAGAATTACTTAGAAATCTTGCACTTTAAAGAATGGGTTTTGCATATAATAAATAGGTTTTGGGAGTCTTTTGCTTTTGAATCCTAGTTAAGAAAGGATAATTACTTTTAAATTTTAGTGTAGGGTCTTATATTAATTGGTGAATTTATCACTCTTTAATGTTTTGGTTTTCTTGTTCATGCCTTTCTTTCTGAAAAATCCAAGTCACCCCATTTAAAATTTCTCCAATAGCAGAAAATATGGGAAATCGATTTTTATAAGCTGAAAGTTTAGAGATCTTTGTTTATGTACAAATTTGACCTATAATGCCCTTCCTAAATTGAAGCAGAGCACAATCCACTCCTTTTTCTTTTTCACCTCTAAAGTTTGGGTACATATGGATGTGATGATTTATAGAAGACAGTGGCATTCATTCATCAAACAGTTCTTGTCAACACTCTTGCAACGTACATCATAAATCAGTTGCTTGTGATCTAAACTGACATTAACAGGAGACACATTTGCACATTAATAACGGAGACTTATGTGGGACAAAACCTAATACCTAACTGATTCAATGAGTTGTTCCTGATAGTTCACTCATGATAGTGCTAGTTGATGGGAGTTACTTCGCCAGCCAAAAGAGTCAAATAAATTTTGGTCATTTTCTCAATTTCAATAGAATGCAACTGGATATAGTATGAACAATATGGGATCGTGCCTTTCGGGATTAGCCGTATGAATGTTTGGTTGATGGCTCGAAGGAGCTTTCCCGTTCTGAAGAAGCTTTGAATGGCGCACGTGACATATGAAACACATTCTCAAAGTTTTGGATCATGACATGTTCTTGAAGGAGATTAGTGAATCCGTGTTTACCATTGTGTATGACTCGTTTCCTGTTGATATGTTGCATACATATATATCATATACTTGAAGGTTGTCCAATGTTAACATCATCATTTTATTTAGAGAAGGTGTATAGTGATTGCATCAGATTTGAGCTCTTGTGAAGTCTTCATCACAAAAGAAAAATTTAAGGATTTGTCTCTTGGTATTGAATCTTTATCTTCTATCATGTTGACAAATGTACTCATGTAAATCAAATGTACTTGTAAAATTAGGTTTTCAGGCAATATTGGCATTTTTGAACAGCATGTGTGTGTGTGTGCGTGTGCAAGGAAGGACAAGCAGTCCACAACAAACAATTACATTGGATATGCGACAAATGAAAGTCTTGTATTGTGGAAAATTTGTGAGAAAATCATGGATCATCAGTACTCATGCCTTGAAAATGCTTGGAACTCCACAAAAGTAATGGGTAGATGGAAGATGAGTTAATAACCGAATATGGTTGCATTAAGGAAGGAGGCATCAATGGATCTCATGTTTTTAACTAAAGTGCCAAACCGACTTTGATTCATCTTTTTTACCCAAGGGCAATTCAGTACTCCAAGTGCCAAACTGACTTGAGGCTATTTTTGTTCTAGATTTCCTGAAAATTTAATTCCACGGGCAGGTGAAGGGGAGGGGGGACCGAGAGGAAATAGAGTTAGATGGAAAGAAAAGCACTACAAAAGGATTTGGTGTGAAAGAAATTTTGTTGGGGGGTCCTATGCCTAGTCCTATGCCTAGGATCTTTTAGGTAGGGAGGTACATGATATTTTTGTGGTCTAATAAGGGTGAGGATCTTAAACTTTATCTTATCCCGTCCCAAGATCGGGAAAAGTAGGTGGGTTGCGTTAGGTAGGCAGCCAGCATTAAACTTTTTCACATCTTATCATGAATCCCTTAATAGAGAAGAATGTTGGAACAAGATCTATGTAGCCGACTCCAAATAATTGGGATAAGGCTTGGATGATAATGATGATTACAATGATGAGGTATATGTTATTTTCCCTTTCGGTAGGAACTTTTTGGAGCATTGAGAATGGTTCCAGCATCCATTTCCTAGTAATTGTGCACCATAGAGCACATTGTTGAGGTGCATGACACATATATGAGAACAAAGGTTTATTTGAGACAACCTATATTTTTGCCATTGACTGATTAGAACGGTGATGACATTGCCATCATGGCCTTCATAGCCTTTTTGGATATATCACCAACTTCATATGCATTGACTAGTTCAAATTTCATGCATATCATGACTTCCCCATTATTATCACTCCCGGTTAAACTTATCTTTTAGTTTCTCGATTCAAGAATATGAAATCCTGTGATTTTCACCCTTTATTCCATATGCATTCTTCACCTACCGATGATGTCACCTCTATTTCTATAGCTGAACCAACCAGTTATTGCCATCATGTTTTTTTCATCATTCTTTATTTTTTCACTACTACATTATATGATACTTTTCCCCCAAAAGTCAGCTCTGAATTTGCATAGGCTGGAGAATACCTAAGAAAGAATTTCAGTGAAGAAATAGAGAAAGGAACTATACTGACTACCTGCTGATAGAGAAAGAAGCTCTGGGGGAGGTGGGGGGTAGAGGCACATGCAAAGAAAGATACTGCCATGGGATTTGGTGTGAAGGAAAATTTGTTGGGGGGTCCTATGTGTACGATCTTTCGGTAGGGGGTTATATGTTATTTTCCCTTTAGGCAGGCACTTTTTGGAGCATTGAGAACAGTTCCAGAATCCATCTCCATGTAATTGTAGACCATAGAGCACACTGTTGTGCATGACACATATATGAGAACAAAGGTTTATTTGAGACATATGCTATATTTTTGCCATTGACTGATTAGAACGGTGATGACATTGCCATCATGGTCATCATAGCCTTTTTGGATACATCACCAACTTCATACACATTGACTAGTTCAAATTCCATACATATCATGACTGCCCCACATCAACTCATATGCTCCTTAAGGCCTTGTCCATTATTATCACTCCCAGTTAAACTTATCTTTTAGTTTCTTGATTTAAGAATATGGAATCCTGTGATTTTGACCCTTTATTTCTTTTGCATTCTTCGCCTACCAATAATGTCACATCTATTTCTATAGCTGAACCAACCAGTTACTGCCATCATGTTTTTTTTCCGTCAAACTTTATTTTTTCGCTACTACATTACATGATACTTTTCCCCCAAAAATCAGCCCTGAATTTGCATAGGCTGGAGAATATGTAAGAAATAATTTCAGGTTTTATCCTTGAAGAAATAGAGAAAGGAGCTATACTAACTTCCTGCTGATAGAGAAAGAAGCTCTGGGGGAGGGTGGGGGGTAGAGGTACATGCAAAGAAAGACGCTGCCATGAGATTTGATGTGAAGGAAATTTTGTTGGGGGGTCTTATGTGTAGGCTCTTTTTGAGTTATATGTTATTTTCCCTTTAGGTAGGAACTTTTTGGAGCATTGAGAACAGTTCCAGAATCCAAACGACCCTTTAATGATTAGATGTGAGGACACTTGGTATTTTGAGCAACTTAGGAGAATTTTAGGGAGAATAATTTGGAGAGAAAGAGGTTGAGCGGTCTCTGTTCATAGCTTTCTATATATGTCTCCTTAGCATATATTTTTTCAACAATGAAAATTAAGGGGAAGGTGTTTAATATGACCTGGTATACTCCATCATTTTCTCTCCTTCAATGAAATATGGATATTCATACACAAAAACATGAAGGTTCTTTTGTAGTGTGTGTTTGTGGATGTGTGAGCCTGTGTATTACATGGCTGGTCCAGTGCATTCAGGTTCTAAAGGATCCAATCTTCAATGTGTGATTATGTGTAATATTGGATCAATAGAAACAGTTCTAAACTGATTCAATCTTTAGTGTAATAGTGGTGGGGAGTTCACAATGTAGCATAAGCATATCTGGTCAACTAAATCACTGAAAAACAAAGCAGCCTAAGGTCAAGAACAGTTAGCCTTTGCTATTCGGTGCTCCCAGTGTCAAGCTCCAGTCACTTAATAATCATCTGGCTGTTCTGTCATTCACTGGATATATTTTAATAGTGAAAACGGCATGAATGAATATAACAAATGTTATCAAACTCGATTTAGCTGTGGAACTTGGCCCTGGGCCTGGCTGATTTACTCAGGTGAGTCTTGAGTTGCATGCCCAAATCTATGCCTAGCTCCCAAAAAAGGGGGAAATCCTGAAAAATAGTAAAAATAGGGGGGATTAAAGATAAAGAATGGAAACTATATAACGTTCTTGCAAAAGGCTGTTGGCGAGTTTGAACAACTAGAACAGTGGCTTAGACACTGATTCCAGTTGCTTGCCAGTTGTGCTGAAGCAATGCCATCGTGTGTGTCACTTGAACTTGAGGCAGAAAGTGGGCTAGGCCAGGAACTTGAAATCCTGAGCTCTTAAATTTCGGATAAATAGGGAATCTGAAATTGAAATCTCAAAAATATATTTTATTGATGTGTTTTCTTTAGGGGAAATAAGCCTATTAATTGGATGAAGAACACAAAAAGTAGGGTTAGGGATCAAATTTCATCAAAATAAGCAAATAAACACTACTTTTTTAAATAAGACAAAACCTAGGTCGAAATCTTCATTCTCTCAAATCCGTCAAATTTGATTGTTTTTGCTCAACTCCGAACTATCACCTGGATAGATCTTGAAAAAACAAAGTGATGGGCCAAATTTGTGCTCAAATAGGTGTTTCTTGGCTCAAAATCATGTAACAAAGGGGCAGATTTGTGCCCCCCAGTTTATGAGGTTCTAGGATTGGTAGGGTACCGAGCTTGAGTGACTCGGGAGAGTCTGAGACTCCTACCGGACTTGTCCAAGTTTTCAAACATTGCTATATATACATTGCTATATATACATTTCAAATACACACACACACTAGATGGAGTTAATTTTGTGGATAGAAGTATATTTCTATGGGTGATTGTTCATACATTTTCATTAAACTTGCAGATTTCTCAAAAAAGTGGGATGAGCCAAACTGCTTTGAATCACATGAGGACGTTTGTGATCGGGAAGCTGAAAAGGTGGCACCCCCGGAGCCCAATAGAACTAGAAAAGTTAGCAAGTGTAACTTGCGGAAAAGTTTAGCTTGGGATAGTGCGTTCTTCACAAATGAAGGTTGCCTCTACATCCACATGAGCTCCTTTTTGTTGATTTTCTTAAGAATTTGACGTTTTATTTACAGGAAGCACTTGATCTTCTGTATTCCTAAATAAGAATGATTAAGGCATAATTTAGATGAGTTTTTCTCTATTTCTTATTTTTGTTTCATATTTATTTTCTTACAGGTGTGCTGGATTCTGAGGAGTTAGCTCTTGTGAATAAAACTTTTAAGAAGGCTGAACCACCAAAGTTACCTGGTATTCAAGAAGAAACTCAGAGATCATTTGACTCATCTTCTACATTAGATGGAGGTGACATACCATTTCGAAACCTTGAAGTTGATACATGTGACTGTGTCCAAAAGGTAATCGAGAACGTTGGAGATGATGTAAAAATTCCTGATACAAAATGTGGTAACAATGAAGCAAGACCAAGTTTAAAAGAATCATCAAATTCTGGTTGTAAGTACCATACTATTCTATGATATTGCAATTTAAATTTATCTCGTGTTAGTTTACCTAATTATTTCCTAGTGGCTTGCTCATACTCTTGCCTTTTTTAATTTCTCTGCACACTCTTTGTGACTATTAAGTACTTTTACTTGCATTACCAGCTTCTACCAAGCGATCACTAACTCAAGGCAGGGTGAGTTCTCATCATTAAATTATTTTCTAACCTTTATTTATTTATTTTCATGTATATAAAGGTTGAGTTAAATCTTTCTGTTGTATACTCTAGATGAAGCAAGTGCCTGTTTCCAAGAAGTGCTTCACTCCAAAGCATGGACTGGACCCAACTTCAAAAGGAGTTGTCATTCAATTAGTAGAGGTATGTCCATAGTATTCTAGTGTCAAGTTATCTCTCTAAGGGTGGTGCACTTTGCAAACTGACACTGCATAATTGGTTATATATGAAGGCTACAAGACATGGGGAGTCTAAGTCATCTCTAAAGCCTCCAAAGTTTTCTTCCCAGATAAGTAAACCTGCTTCAATAGCAATGACCAAAAAACTCTCTGCAAATTCTAGAATTGCTAAAACTACTCCTGTAAAGGGTTTGCCGGGTAAGTCTCAACTCATAGTGTCCTCTACGGAGTTCTAATATGTATCCTTTTTTCTTTTCTAAAATAATATGGTAAATTTATTCTTGATTGTAATAATTGCAGATAGAATGGGATACCTGCAACCTGCTGCAGTCTCACAGAAGCATATCTCTACTGATTCATGTAGTGTTAGGTCTACTCCTTCTCCAAAATCTTCTTCTTCTGGATCTCCATGTTCTTATAAACAGCTTTCTTCACTTTCCTCCATTTCACTTGAAAGGTCTGGTAGTGCCTCTTCTGACTCAATTGCTAAATCACCCCTGAGGATCGTGAGAAATAAATTTGAGTCTAGAACTACGAGTTTATCATCCTATCTCATGTCCAATTCCCAGTCATCTTTGAGCATATCTCCTGCAAGCTCCGTTGATGCCATATCAGAGACTTCCTCAACTTCCACCAATCATGGGTCTCATTATTCAAAACCATGCAACGATATTGATAGCCTTCCCTTACATAATCAGATAATGCCATGTGCTGATATTCAGAACGAGACAGCATTATGTCCATGTGAGGAGCAGACCGTTGTTCCTGAAAATGTCAGGAACGGTTTGTTTTGTGTAAGTGTTGAAAAGCAAAGCAATAGATCATCTGTTTCCTCAGCAGTGGTACATGGTTCCAACAAGGGTGGAATCCAGAAGGGCGGTCATTGCATTAAGCCAACGGGTCTTCGGATGCCATCACCAAAAATTGGGTTTTTTGATGCGGTTGGTTACTCTATATTCCTGAGCACATTTCAATTCACTAATTGCTTTTCTTTTTCCAACATAGTAAGTAATATATTATAATCTTAAGGACTGAAAAAATATGAAAAACTCATGAATGATGATGCAAAGAGAAGTTTGGACCCACCATTAAGAATAGTGTTATCTGGTGAGTCTCAGCCTCTTTCCATGGCTGTCATCATTCTAGAGTAGGTAATGATGCTGAGGACCACAGCTTTCTCATATTCCCTACAATAGAGTTATAAAATAGGCGTATTTTGATTTTGAGAGTTTGCTTTGGTAGGCCAACATTCCTCCTGGGCATTCTGTTTCTACATCAGAGGAAAAATCTAGGGTCCATTCTACAATTGGAGGCCAGCAATCACAACCTGGCATGCAAACTTCCGTGCCCAGAAATGCTACTGGTCTTGGTATTTCTGATGTGGTCAAGGTTAAGGTGAACAAGATTCAATCTACCAGAGCAGCAGCACAGTCTCAAAATGTTTTTTCAGGCTCTCATCACTCTGGGCCATCACACGCCTCTTCCAGTTCTACTTCAAGACCTGCTGCCCCTGCACGACTGGCACAACGGATACCAAAGCAAAATCCTAGAGCATCTGATGCACCTAAAATTTCAGAAAAGAGACTCAGCATGTCTTTAAAAGCTTGGAAGGGATCCTCTGCTAGAAACAACAAGGATGGAAACTTTGAAAATACTCAAAATGTAACAATAAAGCCAGCTGAGTCATTTGATAGAGCTTCATCTTCAGATTTGAGTGAAGAAAAGAATCAACAAGAGGACTGCAGGGGTGATTGCAGTGCAGAGAATCAGGTATCCAGTATGTCTAATCTAAATGTTCCTGAAGAAAACAGTCCTCTGGGTTGCAGTGAAGCAAAATACGGTTTTGATCTCGGAAAGATATCATCATATGACACATCAAGTATTGTTTCATCTGAAGAATCCTTAGCTCAGAATATGGATTTTTCTCTTCCCAGAAACAGGAAAAATGGTGATTATTTATTAAGCCCACAGTACAATGCAGTTGTTTCTTTGGATACTGAAAGTAAAGATCATGGTGAGATTTTCGGTAGAAATGGAAATTGTATTGATCTTAAACCAGATTTCCGTTATGTGCTTTCTCTTCCTGTTCTTGAGGTAAATGAACTGGATAAGTCTGATACTTCCAGGTCATCATCCTCTTATTTATCAGAACCCTCTAGCTTTAATCATAAGTTAGACGCTCTACAAAGTTCATCCGAACTTAATTCTTTGCCTGTTCGTTCAGAGTTTATGTCCTCTGGGAAAAGTCCTTTAGCTATTAATTATTCTTTGTGCAAATGGAGTGAAAATTATGAGCAGAACATTGAACTGCACAGTGAAAAGTCTTTGGAGAAGAAATCTGCATATTCTTTACGAGAGAAAGCTTCATCTCTCATTGCATCAGGAACCTATCCTCCAGATACAGTTGAAAAAATCGGACAAGAAAATATTATTTTGAAAGTCTTTAATGAGGATGACGTGCACGAAAGAGTAATTGTTCCCAAGGATATTTCTTGTGGTGCTTCTCCAATTGTCAGCAGCTGATTTCATTTCATCAAGGTGACGACACTTTGTAGCATTTTATAGACCTGGAATTCAAGACCCCAGTTACTTTTGTTCAAGGAAATTCAAGAATTCTTACTTAGATTGTTTTATGTGATTATCAGTCTAGATACAGATAACAATAATGATAGCAAAAGCATTCTGTAATGGCAAACTTCGAAGTTTCTTGTCAACTATCTGTCAGGAATAAGGTTTTCCTGTACAAAATTATGAATCTCATTTGCGTATGTGCTCACCTTCTTGGATTTATCATATTTAGCTTTTATTGCAGTACGGATTCATATAGACTTCTAGACTCATCACAATGTGCAGAACTGTATGGATTCGTTTATTTCTGTACCTCATTGTGGCTTAATGCAGGGCCAGAGCAGTGTTGCCATCCTTACCTTTTCCTTTTGTTTTGACTTCTTTTGAAATAGCACACATGCTTCCCTAGTGAACAATCGGTCCTTAACATTAACTATGCCTGGCTAATTACCTGAATAAAGATCTCCATCTCACTGAAATTTTGTATTGGAAACCTTATATTGTACATTGGTATTTATTACTGGTTGTCATTTAATGTGACTGAATAACTTTAGGAGTATGGCTTTTGATTTTAACCTTAGTCCGGGTTTTGATTTCCATATTTGTATAGGATTTCACCAGGAAAGAAAGAAAATGTAGTTTAACCTGATCCTTTATTCATGCATTCATCTGATTTTCTTATTAACCCTTGGGTGTAATTTTTAAGGATTATCAATATTAAACATTGTCAGGATTTTATTCCCCTACATGACAAAAAAAAGAGGAGTTTATTTGCTTTGCATCCTGAACTTTCCATTACAGTTCGGGTTAATGCTCTATGAGTCCCACATATCTTGATGTACCTGTATCCTGTTAAGTCTGTTAGAACAAAGAGCATCCTTCTTTAGAACCATTCAAGGCTTGAGAAGAAGGTTTTCCTTGGTCCAAATGAAGTCGCAATAGACATTCTATGTCACTTATCCCTGAATTCTAATATGCCTTGTAAACCTAGAACATCCTACAACTTCTTGCCCCCTTCTTTCAGGACCATCCTTCATACATACCTCTATGGGGATCATAGTTACCGGGATCTCCTCCCTTGCTTGGCGATCCCTTGCAGAACCTCGTTTCTCTCGATCCCGGAGCAGATCTCGTCTGAAACTCAATTTAGTGTTTTCGGGATCTCGCTCCATCTTATAAGGGAACGAGTTCCTTATAATTTAATTTCACATTCCTGAACATTACAGGATCTAGTTCCCTGGTCTTATGGTTCGCGCTCCAGAGTGCATTGGGATCTAGATCCCAAAATAACAAAACATAAGCATCGCCATAGACCAATATGGGATCACTTTAAAGTTCCTTATTTATTTCATAGAAGGACTAAGCTTGCATGTTATCCGTTAACAACGCCAGGAGCTACATTTTAAAGCCACGGATCCTTATTAACACAAGGAACTCGTGTTCTAAGAAAGTGGAGCTACCTCTTATAAAAGTTATTCCTCGCTCCATAACGTTTTGGATTACTTTTAGTAATGCACTCCCTGAGTTAAGAAACTCAAAAAAATTCCCTTGGGAACTTCGGTTCTTATGTATAGGATCTCGCATCTTTATATAATAATTCTCGATCCTATCTAATAAAGAAGCTCAATCCCCAACGCACATGTACCACGATCCCGACCTTTGAGGGTGTACATGCATCGATCCCTAACACAGGGATCTTCAGTATTGCTTCGATCCGCCGATCCCGCCACCAATCCTGGAACCGTTCCCTTGCCCAACAGCTATGATTGGGATTACATGATGCTCAAATGTACAAAAAAGTTTTTGCATTTGAACTTGTCATCCATGTTTTCTCATCAGAATAAAACAAAATGCTTATCCAAATCGGAGTGTGAATAATACAATTTTGAGAAGGTATGCTGGAAATGTTGTTCAATCCATTGATTCCTAAATTAGAGGTACAAATAGATACACGTATGGATAGAAACAAAGGACAAGAAATTATCAGACATATAATAATCACTGATGAGGGGAACCCCACTTACAATACTATAAATATTTCCTATAGGAAACGGGTGATATAAAAAGAAGTAGCACAATAAATGTCCAACTGTATTTTCAACACTCTGGCACTATCTCCAAAGCTGAAATAAAGCTCAACCATTCTAAGCTTCCAAATAAAATTGCATATCTATCTTTTCCAGTCACTTGGGTAAAATACGTGCTGTTTGGTTGATTTCTGAGGAAAAGTGTTTTGATGATTTCTTTGACAAGCCTTTCTTTATATAATGACAATGCATTCTTGATTTATTTTCTGATTCATTCTCATGGAAAACAATATTTTATTCTATAGGAATCACACTCTTACTGTCATGATAGAAACAATAGATAAAGGACTAGTTATTCCAATTTCTTCCATTATTGCCTTTATTTGAATAATTTCTCTTGTGATAGAATGCATTACATGATATTCTAGTTCAGTTTGAGGTGGATACAATTGGTTATTGCTTGCTTTTCCATTTTAGAAAGCTTTTTCCACTGATGTAAAACACAATAGATGATCTATTTTTGTGCTAGCCAGTATGATTGATAATGTCAATAAAAAATTATATTGAATGAGGATAAATGAAAGGGAAGAATTCTCTATTGAGGATACATGATTCACACATAGTCTGACATATCTTAATATCATTTAAAACTGTGTGGGATTGATTTTTGGTTGGATTTTTTATAAACTGGCTGACAACTCCAGCATCACAAAATGTGTGAGGTCCAGATGTTGAATTATATCAGCTAACCATTCTTCATTGGTTAGCACATCTTTTTTCTGCTGACAACTCCACAGTGTCACAAAATATTTGAGGTCTAGATGATGTGAATTGCATCGGCCTATAACCATTCTTCTTGGGCTAGCACATCCTCTTTTCACATCTTTCATTCTTGTCCATTTACTAGTGATTGTTCAATTAGTAGGCGCCTTGCCCTATATAGGGTTTGGATGTCTGAAATAATTATGCTGATATGTTTCAATCTATCTCAGCCAAAGTTAGGTGTGGCTTTAGCAGGGCTTGCACCCTGAATAGCCTGTCCGAATCAGATGTTATTTGACCTGAATGAAACTCAGATGAGAGTTCCTACAGATTTTCTTCAATAGAATGGTGATTACTATTAAGATTTCCAACTTCCTGAGGTCTTTAAGATCTAAGATAATATTTGAACCCACCATCCTTCATCATCAGCAGTGAAAGCTTTGTTTTCCCCAAATACCATTCGCATAATAGCTCCCTTGTATGTTTCTATTGAACTTTCTTTTTATTGTAAAAGCATGTAATGATTTACCATCTTGCCTTTTAGAGTTTCATAGAAAATCCTTGGCTGAGTTTCCAATTTCTCCTCAAATAAAAATTTGGGAACTAAGTCCTGTCTTGGTTGGGAGGTATTTCTGGTAGTCTCTTTGAATTACATTCCTCGAGGGCTTGTTTTCCTGGGTAGCTTGCTTCATTGACTTACCCAGCAAATTGATTCATCCTATTGTATTCCAGAGGAAGCTTTTTTACGCTTTTTTGTTATATTTTCCTGGTTTTGAAATTGCAAATTATGTAAATTTTTTTAGCATCTTAAATCAATTTGCCCCAACTAACATGGCGGGAAAAGTATGATGCAGGTCACATACGAAGGCTATGCACAATGCAGGTGAGTGCATAAGCATAAAAGGTTCAAACAAGTTTTTATGTACAGCGAGGAAAGGCTTATGGGTGCTTTACTTTAGGGGCATGTTTTCTCTCTTATGGGCATGAATCAAGGGATAGAAATAAGATCCAAGTATCAGAGTTAGCCACCGAGGGCTACAAAATTCATAGAAACAGAAGCACTTTGGAGCCAAGATTAGTCAACTGCCGAAGTAGATTATCATAATGGTACATCTTAAGAATAGTTTGTGTTTTCTCGTGGAGATACAGGGAAAGAGGTTTATGCCGAATGTGAATTCTTAAGTGGGTACCATGATTTAAATGAATGTGTTGGTGTATGCCGGAATAATATTGCATCACTTGGTCTACTTGATGCATAATGAGTGCTTTTGAAACCAAGCTTTAAAAAGACCCCTGCCTATGAAAAGGTACTGTTTTATTTGGGGGGGGTGTGTTCATAAATCATAACCTCTCCATTTGAAGATTTGATTTTGTGTTTTAAGTTGAATTAGTGAATGGTGAGTCAAAAAATTTGAAGTGCAAGAGAGGAATTTGAAACCGAAATTAAAAAAAAATCACTTCTTTTTTTTGTTTTTAAAATTTAGAAATATGCGGATATGTATGTGGTTTAGAGATGGCACAATCTAGTAAGAATTTCTGGAAAAACATATCCTGTCACCAGAAACTCTGCATATCAGATGATGCACCCCAATGAACAGAAATTTGTTGCAAAAAAGAAAAAAAAAGAAAAAAAAAAGAGAAAAACAGTTGATTTCAAGCTGCAAAAAAGGTCCACTTTGCAACTTTTTCTGGACCATCTGCTTCAAGTATTTATACATTTGATAGATCTACATCATTGTTGGAGCTCCAAATACTAGTTAGGGGCAGAAATAGATTTACAGTCTGTCATGTTGTTTTCCCGCGCCTGATTTGAGTTTTGTAATGGGATTTTGAGCGACGGCACTACACAAACCTCACCCATAGGGTAATACACCTATAAAAATCTAGCGAAATTTGTCAAAATGGACGTGAGGTATTTACTATTTAGCATTTTACCTATCTGTTTTTACTTAAATTCTAAAATACCCATCAAAATACACGTAATTTTGAGTTGGAATAGCATCAAAAAGGTAATATTAAATGGTTGAAAAGCGAGTTATATTTTGATAAATTTCCCAAAAATTTATTTCTTGTTGAAAAGTATACTCTTGTATTTGGAACATTGTTTCATGCGGGCTGGACCATATTTCTACAATATGCGGTCTGGAGGTATAAAGCATTCATCTTAAATGGATGCAACTAGGTGGTCAATCTAAAAGCAATTGTAACTGACAATTCAAATGTGCTTTTAATATAATTATTATTTCTAATTTTCAATATATTTTTTTTAAAGATTATATAAATTTAGGATCAAATTATATTTAAAAAATATATTTATTGTCAAGCCCACATTTCTACCATATGTGGGCTGGTTACATAGAAACCGTGTCCCTTGTATCCTGCAGTTTATAGATTGCTTGTCACCTCAAATGTATGTTGAAAATGGATGTTTAATGTGACACTTTCCGGGCATGCATCTCTCATTTGTGTTTCCTTTACATGCATCACGCACAATGCCCGTTCTGGTGAAAATATAAGATATGCGGTGTATTGTTTGTAAATGAACTCATTATCATCATCATCGGAGCTTTTTCCAAGTTGGAGTCGGCTACATGAACTACAAGTGTTTTCATGTATTCCTTATTTATTTCTCCCAAATTTATGATCAATCTATATTTCTATGCTTTCCTTTCTGAGTTCATATTAAAAAATTTGGGCAAATTCCATGGAGGACATTGCCAAAAGCAGTGGTGTGCTTTTGGCTATCCATTCGGATGGGCTGGAGGAACCTTTTCGACGCTCTTTTTAGGTGGTTGTAGGATCTTTCAGCCCACCTTTTTGGTTTGCAAGATTGGGCTAAGAGAGCATGGGGACTATCATATATTCCTTTACTAAAAAAGCTAGGGGATAATAGTTGCAGATTGTTCTTATCTTCTTTGGAGGAGGCTAGGAAAGTTGTTCAGATCCGGCTCTGGAGAGTACGAGTCAATCGTAATTCTCTCTCTGCGGCTCCTAATTTTATTAGACTTTCTCCATTTTCTTATTAGAATAGAGGTCGAAGGGCTAAAGATGAAATGCTTGGGCAGTAGATGTTACATCTGCAGGGAATGTTGGGAGAGTACAATCTGATGTTGATGGCTGGAAAGTGGTCAATAGGAAGGGTAGGAAGATGACATCTGGTGTGGCTCGGGTCAAGGGTGGGAAGGTTCAGGTCTCGAGGGTGGCCATGGCAGGGAAGGTGCAGCTTTCAATAGGCAGTACATGTGTACAGTCAGATCTGGTAAAGAAGAAAGATAGTGGCGGTTCCATTTCGAATTCAAAAGTTGCGGCTATTTGGATGCCAAATATTAATGGGAATATGAAATCTTCACGGGCTAATAGGAGTTTTCCTATAATGGATGATAGAGGAAGAAAGAAAGCTGATTGTAATCTATTAAATATAAAGAAGGGCAGTTTGGAAAGAATTTTGATATGGGAGAGTGTTCTAATAAGGGTAGTTCTTTGAGAAAGGATCCTATTATGCCTAGAGGGAAGTCCTTGATGTGCAATTTGGGAAACTATTGGGCATTGAAGGAGGTGTGGTAGTTCCAATACTAGAAACTATACCTACGATGTCAGAGGAAGTGGATTCTCTTAAGCCTATTTGGGATATATATCTAAATCCAGTTTGTCTGTGGAAATGGTGAACTCGGATGTTGATGAAAAAGGATATGTAAAAGGTACAAGTAGCTCTAAGGAGAAGGGGGTTGGTTCGGTGAAGGGCATAAAGAAGATGAAAGCCGTGTCCAAAGATGAAATGCCCCATGGTTGCACAATCAGATTCTAATGATATTTCTGGGTCTGCTAGTATCCCTTTTAACCGCCGGTGCAGGATCCCCTTCTTGTGCTAATGAAGATTGTTAGTTGAAATGTGTGAGATTTAGGTGAGGTGAAGAGAAAACGAGAACTTCTGATGCTTGTTAGGACTCATAGTCCTGCAATTTGCTTCTTCAGGAGACTAAACTTCCTAGACTGTCTTTTTTTTCAGTTAAAGATGTATGGTCCATGGGTGCAGTTGATTGTGCAGGAGTAGATGCTAATGGACTTTTTGGAGGCTTATGGATTGCATGGGATTCATCTTTTCTTATGTGTGAAATCTTCGAATATGGAAGATTCTGTGCTGTAATTTTTGAAGGCCCTAATGAAAACTTTAAATGTTTAAGTATCAATGTGTCTGGCCCAAATTTGAATTCCCTAAAAGAAGAATTCTGAATAATATCTCTATTTTTGTTACTACTGTCAATTTACTGTGGGTGATTGCAGAAGATTTCAATTTGATCAGTTGGCCGGAGGAAATTTCTACAAATATAGCAATGAATTATTCAATGAGAATTTTCAATATTTTATTCTTAAAAATGAATTGTTGGATCTTTCGATTAATGGTTCCAATTTACCGGGTCTAATAATTGTCAATATAATTTCGCTGAGTACGATAGACACATTTTTGGTGTCTGGGGAGTGGGAATTGGAAATGCCTCTCGCTAAGTTTATTGCAGTCCCCAAGTTGTCTTCAGATCACGTCCCTATTTGCTTGACTACTAGTAATGCTTCAAGAGGCCCAAAACCTTTTCGGCTCGGTTTCATGTGGTTGGAAGAGAAAGAAGTGGTAGATTTGATAAAGCAAATTTGGACTAAGACATTGATTTAGGGATGGTATGGCTATCGCATACATAAGACATTATTGTATGTGAAACATAGATTACTTTATTGGAAGGACAACAAATACTATCTCCAGAACCAAATTCGTGATATAATGTCAAGTTTAGATGGGGTAGAGAATTTGATTCAATCGAGTGGGAGTCTCACTAGAGAATTGTAAGAAGAAAAAAAACTAGTTAAGGAATTTGTTGCATGAGATGCTTCGAAAATTTATTGGAAGCAATAGTAGAGGGTGAAATGGTTGAAGGAATGAGATCTAAATACAATTTTTTTTTCATACAATAGAAAATTCAAGAAGAAGATAGAATGAGTTGTCCGGTATCCTTTTTGAGACAGTAGTGGATGGTGATAGAGAATCATGAGAGATGAACTTTGTGTGGAATTTTCAGCAGATTTTCACCAAAGTTTTAAAGTTCAGAGCTGTTTTTCAGAGCATGGATTTCAATAGAATTCCGCATGGGTGGTTATATCTCTTGAAGGACTAGCTATGGAATCTGAAATTAAAAAGGCGGTATTCTCTATACAAGGAGATCGGTCGCCCGGCCCGGATGGATTCTTTTTATCATTCTTTCAAAGATTTTGGGATGTTTTAAAAGTGGACCTTATGCTTATGGTGAATGAGTTCATATCTAGAGGTGTCTTAAGTAAAGCTATCAACTCCACTTATATTGCCTTAGTACTTAAGAGGCAGTCCATTTCTGGGTTGGCTGATATCCGTCCAAATAATCTTCTAACTAGTCCATATAAAATCATTGCTAAGGTTTTAGCGGAGAGACTGAAGATGGTTCTTAACTCAATGATATCGGAGACACAATCGGCCTTTATCAAAGGCCGTATTATTACTGACAGTATTTTGATTGTGCAGAAATGCACACTTGAGACGTTTGGAGGGAGTCCCCTGTATTTTACTTAAGCTTGACATGGAGAAGGCATATGATCGAGTTGATTGTGATGTGCTTCTTGAAATCCTCAAATGCATGGGTTTTGGAGAGAAAATGAGAATGTGGATCAGAGGGTATTTATTGACTGCTCACTTTTCGGTGCTAGTCAATGTAAGTCTGAAAGGATTATTTAAGGCAACTAGGGGATAAAGACAAATTGACCCTCTATCACCATTTCTTTTCATTATTGTTGTTGAAGCTTTTAGCCGGATGATTAGAAATGTATTGGAGAGGAGCAAATTTAATGGGTTTAAGGGGTCTCCTAATGGGTTGTCTATTTCTCATATGTGATACGCAGATGATACTTTGCTGTTCCTGATGCTAACTTGGAGCACATAAGCAATATTAGGAGAATGCTTTTATGTTGTGAAGTGCCACTGGGGTTTAAGATTAAGTTTGAGAAAGCATCTGTTGCTGGGGTTAGATGTGATGGAGTGGTTTTGCAAGAGTTAACTGGTGTTTTGGGATGTAAAGTGGAGCAGTTTCTTATTAAATACTTAGGACTGTCGATATCTGACAGGAGAATGCCAAAGACAGTATGGGATCCAGTTTTGAAGAGGGATATCACTAAGTTAGATTTATGAAAATCGAAAAAATTTTCTTTTAAGGGGTTGGCTATA